CTGTGCTCACTTGGGTGAGGTGGCCAGTGAGCTTCTTTCGCTGGTCCTTGTAGTTCTGCTCATGGTCGATGCGAACCTCGGCTTCCTTGTCCTTGCCTTCTGCAGGCAACCTACCGGACTGGCCGCCGCTAATCATCTTCTGGGTGGTCGCCCCCTTGAGCTTCTTGCGGATTTCTTCAAAATCCTCCTGGCTCACGTCCTGAACGTTCTCGTCCAGCTCAAGCATTCTTTTCTTGCTTGAGCTGCTGAAAGTCTTGCTGTGCTCGAAGTAGTACTGCTTGATTCCCAACTTGGCTAAGTTTTCGTCCTCATGCTCTCTCTCGAGCAAGTCCTGAACACAAGCCTTCTTCAGGCTAGAGTAGTCACTCTCACTCGTGTGAGGGAAAATCCCCTTGAAGCTGGCGATCTCGTCGTCTGTGAACCAGCCCTTCTGGGTGTCGTCTCTGTCCTCCTCTGCTTGCAAGTCTTTCTTCGCGACCCTCTTCGCAGAGATTTCGGGATCCAGCAGATACACCTCGTAAAAAAACTGTCTCTTCTCTGCCTGGCTTTTGCACTTAGCAAAAGCCTCAGGCAGGGCCGTCTTGCCGGCCTTGGTCAGAGCCTTCAGCTTCTGGTTCATCTTCTTCGCTTCGGACTGCCCGATTTTCGGGTGAGCCTTGGCGGCAGCCGTGGCAGCCCTATTCGGGTTAGCCCCTTTCTTCGGGCTCAGCACCTCCAGCTTCAGCGGGGGAGCCTTGGCTGGGCTTTTGGGCTCAGCCTTCACTGTGCCTTCTGCAGGCAAGCCGCCGTTGCCTGCATTGCCTTGCTCAGGCAAGGCCTTGTCCCGGCCAGGAGGCTTCTTCTCCTTGCCTTGCTCAGGCAAGGCCTGCTCCAGGGCAGCAGGCTTTTTCATCTTGGAGGCACCGGCCATCGTCCTGATCTCTAAAACCGTCAGCTTGAGCCTAAATGCTTCAACTGAAATCCTGGTTGAAATCCGCAGCCAGGCCCAAGCCCGAGGCCAGCCAAAAGTTCCTAAAAAAGTTCCTCCAGGAACTTCCCAGCGGAAAGTTCCTATAGGAACTTTTCGGCTTTATTATTACAAACCTAAGAAAAGATAAAAGTTCATATAAAAGTTCTTGAAAAAAGTTCCTGAAAAAAGTTCCTGTAGGAACTTTTTTTCCTGCCGCACTGGGCCTAAGCCCATCCTGGGGGCTCTGATTTTTTCGCGGCTGGGGGCTTCAGGTCTGGAGGGCTGCTGCTTCGTGGCTTCGGGGCTTTCGGAGCAAAGGTTTAGGGTTTTGGGGCTTTAGGGGTTTAGGGTTTAGGGTTTTAAGGGCTGTGGGTTTTTATGCGGTGCTTTAAAGGGCTTCAGGGGTTTAGGGCTTAGGGATTTAAGGGTTTTAGGTTTTTATCGGTGCTCTAAGGCTTGGGGCCCTGCAGCCTTCAAGGGGGTTTGTTTAGGGTTCAATATTGTTCCGGGTTTCGCCTTAATATGGACCCTAAACCTATACACCTTGAAAGACACATCCTAGCAAACACGTGAACCGAAACCATCTGAAGTAACACCTTACAAGTTATAACCCTCAAACCCTCAAGCCCCGAACCCCGGCACGACGGAATTTTTTTCACAGCTGCGGACCGGTGCCGTCTGCACGTGTTCAAAGCTACTTGGCTATGCCTTTTGCAGGCAAGGCAGCCACTGCCACAAAACGACAGGCTTAATTAGCCCGTGTAGTCCGCCTCATGGACGACATTCCAGCCCGAGGTGTTCACACTCATCGCGGATTGCGACATGTGCGACTGCACCTCCCACGATTCTTCTGTCGCGATACTCAACGTGTCGTGGCCAGAAATGCCTTCTGCAGGCAAGCTGCTTGCAGCACCTGTGCCTTCTGCAGGCAAGCTGGCATCAGCACCGCCTTCAGTGGCAGGGGTTGCGACCGAAACGGGAGCAGCCACATCATCAACAACGGCAGGCTTCTCTTCCTGATCAGAGGATTCGGCCTTCGTATCGCCTTCTTCAGGCGAGGCCACCCTTGGGCCAGGGTCGCTCTGTGTCTCCCTTGGATCGGCCGTGTCCATGAGACTGCTGCTGTTGGACTCCTCGGCAGCTGCAGAAGTTTGGCCTTCTGCAGGCCAGGCAGTTGGCCTGGGGCCTGCACTGGTGCCACTTGGCCTCGGGCCGTCGTCCGGCTGGCTGCTGCTGCTGCTGCTGCTGTTGCTGCTGTCGCTGCAGCCCCTTTCCTCCTCTTCCTGGAGAGGGGCTTCTCGACGGAGCCGAGCCAATCTGCTCTGCAGGCTGTTTGTCAGCCCTTCCATCTCCCGCAGCACGAGGACGGCTCCGGATGGCATCGGGCCTGAAGCACTTCCGCCTTCTTCAGGCGAGGGGTTCCCCCCACACGGGCCGGGTCGCCCTTCACTTTGTTGGCGGCGAAATTCGACCTCATGCCGAACTTGTCTTGCCCAGCGGGCAAATTGTGCGACCCGGCCCGGTTCGCCGGAAAACAACCAGGGCGGAAGCGGAATTCCTTCTCGCTCCAAAAAGCGCCGCAGGTTCCGCCTGACTTGGGATCTAAATCCTCTCGTGTCAAACCGGCTGCATCTTGGAAGCAGCTGGCCCAAGATCTCCAAGGCCTTCTGCAGGCCAGAGTCCTCCTCAGCATCTCCATCGGCGGACTCCGTCTTTGGTTGCTTGAGCTCCGCCTGCCCGTCCGGACCCCTAGAACTTGAGCTGCCGCTGCCACTGTTGCAGCTGGGGCCTTGTTCAGGCCAGGGAGAACTCCCACTAGTGGGGCCTTCTGCAGGCCAGGGAGAGCTCCCATCGTCATCTGCTGGCCAGGGGCCTACATATTGGCCATGTTGCCACATGGCCTGATCCCAGCCGTTGCTGAAGACCGGCTCAGGCAGCCACCCGTGCGGCCCCGTCTGCAGCCAGGAGCCAGTCGGCAGGTGCTCCCTCCACCACCTGCCGTGCCAATCTTGCTCAGGCACACCCCAGATGCGGTGCAGAGGCCAATCGACTACTGCAAGCACCGTCATCATAAGGCACATCATGATGGCCTTATGCAGGCCAGGGCCGTTGCCCATGAGAGCCTTCTGCAGGCCAGCCAGCATGGCAAAACCCAGAAAGCTAAAGGGAGATCTAACTGCAAAGCTTGAGCTCTCAAAATGCGGACGAACAAATATATTATTCAACAGACAAACTCGACACATGCACTGCACTTCGACATGACCTGCTTCAAAATACAAAACATGAAAAGCTTTTCCAAACAAAAACCGTTAACAAACCCTTCTACAAATTTACGGCGTTATGCTTTGGGTTTTAGGGTTTAGGGTTTAGGGGCGATCTGCGATTTTATTTTTGCACCAGCCGAAGCGAAAGCCATGTGAAGTCGCGAGAACTGCCTTTGCAGGCAAGTGCAGTGCATTAATACCCAGTCCTGCCCCCCCCTCTTTGATTGAGGGTGAAGGTGCCAAGCACACAGCTAGCCTTGCACAGGCTGGGCCTCGGCTGCCAAAAAAGCAACCCTGATCTTCTCCCGCTTGGCGATCACATCCTCCTTGGTCAAGCCAGCTTCCTCCTGGCACACCCACTCCATGAGCTGCCTCACGATAGCAGCATGGTCACCCAAGCCCTGACAGTTCACCAGCGACCTCTCTTTCGAGGCTTTGTCCTTTTTGAACACGATGTACGACTTGTCTTTGGCAAAGGTTGGCTTGACCAAGCCGAAGCTCTTCGACTCCTTCCAGGGGTTGGCCTTGTGCAGGCCAGCAGGCCTCTTGCAAGACTGGGCTTTCGCTTTGGCCTTCGCTTTGGCTTTGCCCTTCGCCTTAGCTTTGTTCTTTTTCTCAGGCTGCCCCAAGCTTTGCACAGGAGTGCTAGCGACCGAACTTGACTCAACAAGCTCTGCACTGGAGGGTACACTAGCAGCAACGGATCCGATCGAAGGCTCTTTCCTCAAGATCCTTCGTTTGGGCGGTGTCGCTGCCGCCACTGCAGCAGGTGCAACCTCAGGGACTGCAGCAACCTCGGGCTGCGAGTCCGTACCCGTAGTAGAGAGCCTTCGCACAGGACGTGCAGATGCAGGCTCCTTCAAAGCCTGCAACAACTCTTTCAGCCACGATGCCATCAGCTCGCCTGTCTTGGAATTTCTGTCTTTTCTGTTGCACATCGATTTCACTGCAGCGAGCTTCTTCAAAACCGAATTTCGGCTGGCCTTGTCCAGGCCAGGGAAAGCTTCTTGCCATATCTTCCTTGTCACTTCAATGCTCGTCGGAGGCTGCCTAAACCAAAGGCAAAGGAATTTATGGTGCCTTTCGCCGACTTCCTCTGGGGTACCATTCCACAAGCTTTCTTTCATGTCTTTGCCACCGAAGCTGCCCCGGAGCATGGCCGCAATACTCTTGATTTGATCCATATCCATGCTCTTGCTGCCGCCTTGTGCAGGCGAGCTGGGCACAGCAGCACTGCTGGCCATGCCTACTGCAGGCGAGCCACCTGGCTTGCCTTGCCCTGCTTTCACAGCCCTACTTAGCAACATCGCTCCCTGCGATATTCTCGAGCCGAAAGTCGTCCTACAGGCAGGCATATGCATGAGGAGGACTACCTGCAAATGTAACAAGGTTAAGAACCCAGAAGCTCGATTTGGAAGCTCCGAATCGGAGCTTCTGAGAAGCTCCGAATTGGAGCTGCTGACACTGTTCAAGCATCAAGACACGGAAGCTCCAAATCGGAGCTGGCAGCTCCAATTTGAACCCGGAAGCTCGAAACAGAAGCTCCAATTCGGAGCTGGCAGCTGCAAATCGGAGCTGGAAGCTCCAAATTGGAGCTGCTCGGCAGCGCCGTTTCGGCGCTGCCAGCTCCGATTTGGAGCGGCCGCTCCGAATCGGAGCTTCTCGGAGTTTCTAGGTTAGGTCCTGTGATTGCCGTCGACCTCCGCGCCGAGCCCGCCGACTTCATCTCTGCGACTGACGCTTCAACTTGGGGAGGCGCGGGTGTAAGGGCCAAGGTTCCGAGGAATATGGTGCTTGAGTTTTGCCGTCACTCCCTCTACAAGGGCACTTGGACGCATCTTTTACCCCCAGGGCATGCATGGCTTCGGGAACATGACCAGCTTTTGCCTTCTGAAGAGCTCCCGGGGGAAGGCCACTTCGAGCCTAATCTGTTGGCCAGTCTCCTTGCCACTCGGCTGCCTTATGTTGAGCGATGGCGAAGGAAGTATCATGGGCCCGAACATATCAACTGCAAAGAAGTCCGAGCTTACCTTCAGGACGAATCCTATGCTGCTCGATCAGGCGAGCGCATTCGGCTTTTGACGGGCCTCGACTCTCAGGTCGCGCTCGGAGCATTGATCAAAGGGAGATCATCGTCAGGTGCCTTGAACGACATGTTGGAGGCATCTCTCGGCCCGTACCTCGGATGTGGGCTGTACCCCCACTTCATGTATTACCTCAGCGAGCTAAACCCTAGCGACGGTCCTACTCGAGGACGTGACCCACCTTTACCTCTCGGGCCTCTCCCTGACTGGTGGTCGCAGCTCGCTGATGGCTTGACTGAGCCTTTCGATGCTTGGATGCTTAAGGTCGGTGCAGCTCGTCCCGGGTTTTCCTTTGATCATTTGGACCGCGACGGTGGCCTGGGCGCTGCGTCTCCCGAGCCTCTTCATGCCGAAGTTTTTCGGGTCAGAGCTACCCCGCTGGCTCCCGAGCATGATGGAGGCTCTTGCTGCCTTAGGCTTGGCGGCTTCTCTTTCCCTCTTCGGCAGTTTAAGTTCGGTGGCTTGGCCCCTGACCTCGGCGAGCCGGGCTACCTTGACCTCTTCGCTGGCGCTGGAGGAGTTGGCAGTGCGCTGGTGAAGCTTGGCGCTCCTTGGGTCCTCTCTTTTGACCTGAGGTGGAGCCCTGACCAAGACCTCCTGGACCCAGCTGTGCAAGCTCGGATTGAGACCTTGATTTCATCTGGATGTTTTCGGGCGATTGGCATGGCTCCTCCTTGCAGCTCCTTCTCAAGCGCTGTGACGCCGGCGGTCCGAACCTGTCGTTTCCCCAAGGGCCTTCCTTGGCTTAAGGGTGAGATGAGGAAGAGAGTTGTCGAGGGGAATGAGCTCGCGGCGTGGTGCCTCAAGTTGCTGGAGCTTTGTGAGCGCTCTAAGGTTGGCTGGTGGCTGGAACAGCCGGATACGTCTTGGATGTGGCGGCTGCCTGGCTTCAAGCGGTTTCGGCCTCCTTCGTCTACGTCGACGTGGCGGGTGGACTTCTGCTACTTTGGGACCCCTTGGCGCAAGCGGACTAAGATTGCCTGCTCGAACGAACTGTCGGGCCGGCGACTCTTTTGCCGATGCCTGGTGCCGCATGTACTTCTACGCGGTCGCTGCCCCTACTCTGGCGTGGCGAGGACAGCCGTGGCTCAGCCTTACCCCAAGGCGTTCGCTGCAGCCTTGGCTCGTGGAATCGCTCGGGAAGCTGGATGGTGC